AATACATAAGCAACTCCACTGTCTGTCCCGGAGGTGACTGCTGCCGGCGTTCACGGCGGCCCTGGGGTGTAGCCCGGGCAGCTGCGTTGAAGCTGCCAACCTTTGGGCTCGTAGTCCAGCTTGCTTCCTGCTTGTGCCACCCCGGCGGGGGCGGGGGCTGGGGCTGGGGGCTGCCAGCAGGTAGCAGCTGCCGGGGGTGCTCAGCCCACCCCTGACAGACACCCCCCGCCGGCAGATGACCCACAGCAAGGAGGAGTTCAGCGTCCACCTGGGCCAGGCGCTCTGCTACCTGCACAGCGGCCACCTCCACATCAGGACCTGGGCAGCACTCTTCATAGGTGGACCTCCTGCGGCCCTCCTCCCCCCCTCCAGCCCTCCTGCCCTGCCCACGCACCCAGGAAGGAAGAGGTCTCCGGCTGCGCAGAGACTGGGGTGCGGGAGAGCCCCCAGCCCCCGACTCTGCCCTTCGGTGTCCTGCAGGTTACACCATCTGCTACCACCCCCAGGCTGTGTCCCAGATGGTGACCGGCGTGGACACAAGCCTACTCCTCTACAGTAAGCAGCCCCCCACCCCACCCCTACACACACACACAATTAGAAGCCAGGCCTCTGGAACAGTCCCTCCACCAGGTCAACACGGGGGTGAGGGAAACCCTTACCCTCTCCAAGCTTCAGTGGTGGCAGAGGGGATGTGGGCAGGAGGCCCCTCCCCAGACTGACTTTCACAGATGAACTAGGGGAGCTCAGAGTTCAGGAGGGAGGCACCCCAGGCCTTGGTTGGGCGGGACAGCGTCTGGGCACCTCTCAAGTTACAGAGAGGTCCCAGACCCCCGCAGGGTGGGTCACACAGTGGCTGGCAGTTCAGCTGCCCTGTGATGTGCCCCCTCTTTCCTGGAGCCTTTGAAGAGCTCAAGAAAGACCCAGAGCCAGCAATCCGGGAGTTCGCTGAGAGGCAGTGCTCCTTCCTGCAGAAGGTGGGGGCCAGACTCCACCCCTGACGCCACCAGCCCCACTCCCACCCCACCCCCAGCAAACCCGGCAGCCCTGCCCCATCCCAGAACTTGATTGTACAGCATGTGTCCATAAGTAAGGTGTACATTCAACAGAGGCAGCCCCCTGTCGGCTCCCTGCCCAGCACCCCCATAACCATCCCTGCTGTGACCGAGGAACCTCTGGGGACTGTGGGTAGGGTGCAGGACAGTGGGGGTGGAAGGCCAGGACCCGGCGACAGGCTGGGAGGTGGTAGCCCTTCCACCCCAAGATCTGGCCCCATCACTGGCTCTGAGCACCTTCCCCAGGGAGTGTGGCTGAGCAGAGGCGGGTCTGCAGCACCGGGGAGCTGACCCTGCCCCTGGACCAGCCTCCTCAAGCCTGAGCCCCAACATCTCCCTCTCCCCACTGCTGTCCTGCTGGTCCCCTCAGAACCAGGAGGGTGGCACTGCCAACGGGGCCCCAACACCCTTCCAATGGAGCCCCCCTCCCCCCCCGCCCGGCCTGGAGTTTTGGTGCTCAGCCTTGGCTGAGCCGTGGGCTGGTAATGCCAGCTCCTGAGAAGAGTCCTCCCTGGCAGGACCCTGAGTCCCTTCCCCTTGAAGCCTCAGTTTCCCATTTGAAATGGGCAGATGGGCCTCCCCAGGCCGGACACTGAGCTTCTGCACCTTGTCCCAAGACCCCTTCCACACCAGCCAACCACCCCAATGGTGGCACCCCATGAACCTGCCCCCACCCCGACCTTTCTCTCACCCCCACTTGTCCCTTGGTCCCTCCTTTCCGAGCCCTGACCCCACCCTCACCATCTGGACGTATCCCCATTACCCAGCCTACATGGCCCTGCTGCAGGCAGCCCCTGCACCATGCTGCCCCCTCAGCTCCAATCCCCCCAGGCCGAGCTCACCCTGCACCCCATCCCTGCCCACCTCCTAGATTGTGAGCCCCTTGGAGTAGGGCCAGGGGGACCACAAATGCCATGATGGACTGAATACAGCGGCCAAGGCTAAACCTCTGATTTACTTTAATCCATTCTGTTCGGGCCATGGAGAAACCACAGGGAGGGTCAGCCAAGCTGGCAGCCTCCCCAGGAGCTCATGGCTCAGTGATGGCTGCCAGGCCAGCTCTGCCCCTGTCTCTGGGGGAGACCCCGGGGGGCTCACCAACAGCTGTGACTGGTGCTGAGCCTGGCCTGGCCTCTCCCTCTGGCACGGGCTCCTCGGGGACCCAGGGCCATTGAGGAGGCGCCTGGAGCAACCAGTGGACAGGAGATGTGGGATCCAGAGCCACTCCTGTGCAGGGGGGCTCCCCAGGGGGCTTTGCAAGAGTGCCCCTGGACTTAATGCCCTCCAGCCACCTCATGGCAGTGGGCAGCACCTGCCCAGCACCACCACTGCCACACACGCCCCGGTCTATGCTCTCTAGAAAGGCCCCTTAAAGCTTAGAGCCGGTGGCAGGACTGGGCTCGAGCCCCACTCTATCAGTGGGCATAACCCCCAGGCTCTGGGAAGTTGGGGTGGGGGTCCCCTACCTCCCATGGCTGCAGGGGGAATCCATGCACTGCCCAGGCCACTGGTACAAGGCCAGGCCTGTGTCCCCAGGGTCACCCCCAAGGACCCACCTCAAGTGCTGAGCTGGACCCTGGGCCTGGGGGAAGGGGGGGCATGAGTTTGCCCCCACAGTGCACAACCTCCCTGGTGGTTCAGTGTCCCAGTGTGGGGGCTGGGAGGGCAGAGGGAAAGCTGGTGGGCAGATGCCGGGAGGAGGCAACCCCAGACAGAGGCCAACACCCCAGGCCGGGCCTGCAGATCCTTCAGTGGGGGTCAGTCCTGGCCTTTGGGGAGGCCATCTTCAAAGTGCGGGGAAGGGGGCTCACCCCACAGCAAGGCCTGTCAGGCAGCCAGGGCCCAAACTGTCTGCCTGGGTCTCCCTTGTACCCCCACGCTCCTCTCTCAGGCCCCCAGCAGCCCTTCCTGTGCCCCTCCCTCAGGGCTGGGGGCTGGCTGCCACTCCCAGGAAGTCCACGCTCACCAGCTCCCTCCTCCCGGTGTCCACGTGGGCCTGGGAACAGCCCCATGAACCCCTACACAGGCAGAGGGGGCACCCCAGAGATCCAGCCTCACCTGCTCCTAGCTTCCAAAACAATGGGGTGACACTGTAAACCCATTAGAAAGCTCTGTCTAAAGGCGATGTGTACCCCCCACCCCATCCCAGCTCTGTGGACTTCGAGATCCTAAGAGGCATAGGGCCAGCCATGGTCACCAGGGGGCGCAAGAGGACTGCATGGGAGGAACTGCTGGTCAGGGCCTGCGCTGACCCCCCCCAACCTGCACCCCCAACCTGCGATGACACTCCCCCAACCTGCACTGGCACCCCCCAGCCTGCACCCAACCTGTGCCAGCCCCCCCTGCAGACTGCACCCCCAAACTATGCCGACCCCCTACCAGTCTGTACCCTTCAACCTATACCAATCCCCGCAGAGACAGCCCCAGCACTTCTGCACACACAGCCACAGCCGCCTCTTTATTGCTCAGGGCTCAGGAGCACCACAGTGTGAGGTGCTTCAAACAGGTGAGGCCGGCAGCTGCTGCTGCCCCAGGATTAATACACAGCCCCATTAGCAGGCTCCAGGGAGGGCCACCCGGGGACATGAGATCTCACTGCTTAAGGGACAAAGTTGTGACAGAGAGAGGAGGGGCACAGACAGACAAAGGTCAAAGAGGTGGGGACGGGGTACAGAGAACGCAGGGGCAAAGGAGTGGGGAACATGGGCGACAAGGGGCAGGCTGGCACAGGCAGTCAGATGGAGAGCACAGGGCTCGGGACCCGGGCAGAGGGGTGGGGGAGCTGGTGGGGCAGGGTGCCAGGGCTCCTGTGCAGGCAGCCTGCGCTACATGAGGCAGCACCTGACCCGGTGGCCGTGTGGTGCCCTGAACCGCAGCCTTTGTCGGGGCCGGTACTTCTCCAGGTAGGTGAGCTGTTTGCTGTTGATGGCACCCCGCCGCTTCCTGTTGAGAGGACAAGGGTGTCACCAGGGCTGGGAGGGGGGCCTGAGAGCATCACAGCAGGCCGTCCAGGCTGGCACCATCCTCACCTGTCTTCCAGGCTGGCCACTGGGCCCCACCCCCTGCCATGTACCCCTCAGGGCAAAGCCCAGGTAAACCAGCTGCTCTCCCCACTCCCAGGCCACTGGCCAGCCTCTCATCAAACCCCACTCCTCCCAGGACAGCCCTCAGTCCCCGCCCCACCTCATAGCCAGTGTGTCTGACCCACCTCATAGCCCTCCAGGAGCCCAGCCCCCAGGCTCCCACCCCTCTGCCTGAGGTGTCACTGAAACACCCAAGCCCGCCCCCCCCCCAGTCTCCCAGCAGGCCCACCACCCCACCTCTCCTGGACCCTGGCCAGCTTTCTGCCAGGCTCTGTCCCCTCTGCTCTTGGCTTGTGTCTGGGACAGCAGGCACCTGGCAGGGGGGCAGCTGCCACTTCCTGGAGGGGGGGGACACCAGGAGCAGGCTGAGAGACCAGGTGACGAGCCATGTGACAGGCTAGGGACACTGTGTCCCATCCTCCCTGACCTCAGGCAAGGCTGACCAAGTGTGAGTGCAGTCAGCCCTGGTTCCTCTGGCAGCTGGCTCAGAGCCCCAGCCCCAGGCCCGGCAACGGGGCTCCCCGAGCAGTCAGAGGGCTGGCCGGGGGGATCCCAGGGGCTGGAAGCCTGCCAGTCACTGTGGGGCAGGCAGCCTTGCCAACCAGCAGCTGTAGGACGGACACACACCGAGCCACGGCCTGCAGGTGGACATGGCGGCCTGAAAGGTGGAGTGAGGAGACTGGAAAGAGTGGGTGCGAGACATGTGTGATTCATGTGTCATGTGCGCGCAAGATGCATGTGAATGTGGCATATGTGCATCTGTGTAAACGGTGTTTATGGTGAGGTGCACGTGTGTGCGCACGCGCGTGCTGGATGGTGTGTGAGCATCAGTGTGTTCGGGGATGCAGGTCGGAGTATGTGAGAGTGGTGTGGGGACGTGTGTGGTATGTGAGGTGTGTGGGGTGTGCACATGAGGGAGGGGTGAGGGCAGGCAGGGGACGGGCATCAGGCCCGAAGCTCTGCAAGGCCAGGGAAGCCCCTCCAGCAGACCCCACCCTCGCCCCTGCGGCCACTCACTGTCTGATGAACTGGACTGCGTCCTCGTACTTCATGCCGCCCTCCAGCAGGGCCAGCGCCACCAGCACGGGGGCCCTGGGGACACAGCACCAGTTAGGGGCGGCACCCAGCGCCCGCGCCAACAGGCCCTGACCTGGCCTCACAGGCTGGGAATCTGGTGTGGGGGCCCTGGGTGGCTCAGAGTCAGGGCGTGAATCTCAGGGGAGCGGAGGAGAAACACATCTTGACCCAGGCTCAGCAATAAGGCGTGAATCGGGGAGGAGGTGGGGGGGACACGACACACTGGCAGCTGAGAGTCAGGGCGTGAATCTCAGGGGTGGGGACATCCTGACGGGGGCGGGGGTGTCAGAGACAAAGCGTGAAACCTCATGTTGGGAGGATGGGGTGGGTGGGGCCCAGTCAGGACATGAAGTTAGTAGGGACCTTGACCTAGCACTCAGTCAGGGTGTGCTCCACCACCCCACCCTGGTCCCTCAAGCTCCTGTGCTGTTGACAGCACCACATGGGGTGGGAGGCTGGAGAGGGGGCGCAGGGGAAGCCGGACACACTGGCCCTTCAAGAACCTGTACCCTGAGTCCACCCCAATGCCGCCAATCCTTCCCATGGCATCCCAAGCCAGGAGGGCTCCCCTCCCAGGCCCCAACCCCGCAGGAAAGCTCTGGACCCTGGAGTCCTCGAGGAGGGGGCTCTGGGGCAGTGAGGCCACCCCTGAACCACTGCATAGGACCAAGAAACTGAGTGGGCACGCACCGTCCCAGGCCTGCCACGCAGTGCACCGCCACACAGCTGCCAGGCTCCTCACAGAACGTGGCCTGCAGCAGGCTCAGCCAGTCCTCCACAATCCTCCCAGGCGGGGGTGCTCCGTCGTCAAAGGGCCAGTCCTGGGGGGGGCCATCACAGGAGCCCTGGAGAGTACTGTTCAGAGAGGGCAGCCCTCCTGCTCACCAACCCACCACCACCTCCAGGGCCCTTACCACTGAGTAGGACCCCTGGGAACCTCCCCACACAGTGCTTTGTGGCCCTGGGTCCCCTAGCCCCACACCCACCGTGTAATGACCTGCCCCAGAGGTCCTGGGCCCTGTCCCCTGGGGCCACCCTGTCTACAGGGCAACAGTGGTCATTGCCCCCACACCAGGCTGAGTGGGTGCACTGTGTAGCAGCCCGGGTACCCCAAAGAAGAAACAGCCTGGGGCCCTGCTGGATTCCAAGCCCTTAGCCACCTCAGGGCCTCCTGGGGGCATCCCTGGGGTCCTTCCCACTGACCCTCGGTGCCTGGGGAAGTCAGGTGGCCCTGAAACCAGGAGCTCCTGCTGAGAATCGGGTGTCTACAGGCATGCCCGGAGTGGAGCCTCCCGGCCCTCGTCCTTCTAAGCGGCTGACCCTCACAGGGTCAACCCCAGGGGGAGTGGGCAGGGCATCCAACCCAGCCTCTGACCCCAGAGCCCAGATCTGTCCCCACCCTAGGCTAGGCCCCATGCTGGGGGGAGGGGGCAGGGAGAGCTCTGAGGCCCAGCCAAGCCACCCCACTGGGAGCCCCCACCGGCAAGGTCAGGAAAGTCTGTTCCCAGCAGGCCAGAGTGGCCCTGCAGGCTGACCCTGGGGCTCCATGCCCCTACCCCTCTGCCTGACCAGGGAGGTGCCAGAGGAGCAAGGGAAACAGCCTACAAGCCCCCACACACCTCCCCCAGCCTCCTCAGAGCCTCTAGGGACCCACTGCTGCACTGGCACACCCGCCACCCCCATCGGCTGCCGGGCGACAAGGCCGGGCACGGAGACTTGGAGGGCCAGAGGGACAGGCCCAGCAGAGGCCCATGTGGCACCTGCAGCCATGCTCTGCCCACTGGGACCCGGCTCTCCCCATGGCCCAGGTCAGGGGGGTGTGGGATTTGCAGGCTTTGGGGAGGTGTTTGCCAGGTAGGGCTGCCAGAGGCCCCAGCCATGGCCTCGGGACCACCTGACACCTGCCAGACCCCATAGGAAGGGTCCTCCAGGACCCCCCTCCAGACCCGCAGGGCAGATCCCCGGTGCAGCAGGGCAGGGACATGCGGGCCCACATTGGGGGTGGACAGAGGAAAGGCAGAGAGGACAAGTCGGGGCAGGGCAGGTGTCCCAACCCTTATGTGGCCCAACCAAACACATGAAGGTGACAGGTGGCTTCCTTCCTGGTGATGGGACTCAGCCAGGGCTCCTCGGCGCCCTCACCCCACCTACCCCATGACAGTCCCCCCCCCCGTTACAGCACACCCCCAGTGATAGCCCCCCAGCAACAACCCCTGTGGTAGCAGGGACCCCATCACAGCCCCATGGCGGTAGGGACCCCATGACTGACAGCCCTCATGACAGCAGGGACCCCATGGCAGCCCCCATGGCAGCAGGGACTGCACCCCACCACCAGGGTCTCACCACCACAGTGATGCCGTCCTTCTCCAGGGGGGTCTTGTCGTAGGTCACCTCACACACACGTACCACGGTGGTGGCCCCGTACTTCTTCAGGTCCTGTCGGGAGAAGACAGGGCTCAGGGGTCGGGGCCCCTGACTCGGCCCTGGGCAGGGCTATGTCCCCTCCATGAGGCAGAGAAGCTCCGGCCCACAGTCGTGACCCAGTCACGGGATGGGCCCTGACCCTCCCCTTTCCTGAGCCTCTGGGACTGCCGCTCCACCCGACTCACTCCACTCTCAGAAGCCCACCGCCCACCCCCAGACACTCACCCCACCAGCCTCACCTGCCATGCCTTTCTGCAGACAGAGCCACACACACACACACCCAAGATGACCCCTAGCTGCAGGCAGTCCTGCACAGGCTCCACTCAAGGGGCCCACACTGGTCAGCCAACCACCCTGGTGCCTGACAGGTCCTCGGATGGGGAGCTCCCAATGGGAGCCTTGTTCCTCAACACACACACACCCCCAGTGGGGGAAAGGTGAGAGCCTCGGGGCCAGGCAGGGATATTTATACCCAGGCAGAGGGGGATCCCTTCCACGGGGGGCCACGTGCAGCCGCCCCACCCCCACAGCTATTCTGGGAAAGTGACCAGTCAGCTGCTGGGCCTGCTGGTCACAGGACAGGGACACCAGGCTCAGGGAAGACATCCTAAAGCATTGGAGGCTGGGGGGAGCGGGGGAGCACCTCAGTGCCTCAGAGAGGATCCATCAGTTGAGCAAGCCCCTGTGGCCGGCCACACCCTGAGCCCTGACCCTGCTCACCCTGATCCCTGATCCTGCTCACATTCTGAGCCCTGACCCTGCTCACACACTGAGCCCTGGTCCTGGTGACAGGCTGAGACCCATCTGCCCCTTCCTCACACATGCCCCCACTCCTTCCAGCCCAGCCAGTGCAGAGAGGCCAGAAGGGGGGCTCAGGTGGGCAGAGGACGGCAGGTTCAGAGCTCAGGCACACCTGCACTGTCAAAAGAGTTGTCACACATTGAAACTGGCCTGCCCTGCCGTTCCCCAGGGGTCACCATGGTCCTGTGACCAGGGCAGCGAGGTCTGGTCTCGAGCCCCACCCTTGACCCTGACGTGGTCAGCTGTAGCATGCCCTAGCCAGCCCCCAGCCCCTGCTGCAGGCCAGGCCCTGCTCACCTGGATGAAGGTGCCGAGGGTGGCGTTGGTAGGGTTGTGGGTGATTAGGAATCGCATGTTCTTGTAGCTGACCTCCACGGGGGCGGGCCGGTTCATGCGAGCCATTGCCGTAGGGAGGGGGGGTCACTATGAGATGACCCACCAGCCCCCAAACCCCAGGGAGAGGAGCAGCTGTGCTTGTCCAAGAGAGGGAGCGTCTAAAAACCCCACCCACCCCACCCCGGCCCAGCCCGCACAAATATTGCGCAATAGTGGGAGGGGGCTCCCCCAGAGTTCGGGTAGTTAGAGCAAAGCCACGACCTCTTTACAAAATAAAGGCTCCAAACGGTCACCCCGAAGTCCAAGAGGCCCCCTGAGCCTGTCTGAGAGCACAGCCGTCACCAAGGACCAGAAGAAGCCAGAGCCACTCAGTCCAGACGGCCGGGCCAGTGTGTCCCCCGCCGATGCACCCTCCTTGGTGGACGGCCGCAGCCCAGCAGCCGCAGGAGGTTCAGTGTGCACTTGAATCAACAGGTGGCACGGGGGAGGCTTGGGGCACCAATCACGTTACCCCATCAGGGCACGGCGAGTCCGGGAGGAGGGCAGGGGGCTCAGGTGATTGGGCCGGCCCCAGGCCGGGCAGCGGCGGCCAGGGGCAGGCGAGGGCAATGGTGAGGGCCAGCGGCACGGCCTCTTCAGCAGAGCTGGCCGTGAGGGCAGTGCTGGGCGTGGCAGTACTCAGCGGCACCCCCCACGGGGCCCTCCATGGACGCCAGGCTGGTCAGCGGCAGGCCACGTCTGGGGAGAGGACAGAAGAGCATTACGGGGCAGCCAGGCTCCTGCCTGCCCCACATCACAATCCATGCTGGCCCTCCCACTGTCCCTCCTGGGCCTCACTTTCCCCACAGAGAGCTCCAGGAGGGACAGCTCCTGGCCAAGGCTGCCGGGGGGCAGGGGAGAGTGGTCCATCCAGGCAAGCTCTGGCTTAAGGACAGGACCCAGATCAGGCTTTGGGGCCCACACACATCTTACACACACTTCCACATATGCACTCTCACATACACAGGCTCACACATCACACACATTCACAGGTACCCAGGCTCACACACACACATGCATGCACATACTTACACATCACACACACCCATGTGCCACACACGTGCGAGCACACTCACATACACACACATTCACAAGTACACATGCTCACATTCACACACGTACATATACACATGTACCACGCACGTGCAAGCACACTCATATAAACACATATTCACACATACACACACATATCGTGCATACGCACACGCACACACGGAGCACCTGAGCCCCATAACACAGACCTGGGCCCTGCCCACACAACACTGGCCCCAGCCTGTGCCTGGTTGACACCCCGCACCCCTCATGGCATCACCCTGTCTTCCGCAGCCGGCCATCCTGGGGAAAAGGTGGGGGGCGGGGGAGGGTTGTGTGCCTGAAAAGGCTGTCCCTGCACCCCCTCTGGCTCCTGCAGTCACCCCTACCCGGCAGCCCGAGAGGACATGCCAGCTCTGAAGATAAACAAGCCCGGCTCTGCCCTCCTGAGCTCAGAGACTCTCAGTGCCCGAGAGTAGCCCAAAGCACGTGCCAAGGTGGTGACGGCACAAGGTGGCCAGACGTAGGGTCACATGTGCCCAGGCCCTGGAAGGAACAGGCCTCCAAGTCCACTGGTCTTCCTCTTGGTCTAGGAGCCCAGCGAGAGCACCCAGTTCCCCCACCACCCGCAGACTGCCCGAGGTCTTGGGTAGCCCTGGCCTCTGTGTGCCTCAGTTCCCACACACCCACCCCCCTTTGGCACAAGACCAGGATGGCAGAGGACCCTGGGGTCCCCCTGCTGGGACCCCTCCTGCCTGCTCCCAGAACCCTCCTCTCTGCCAAACTAAACGGGGCTCCACAGGCCTCCCACTGCAAAGAACCCCCAACCCCTGACCCCCGCACCCCTTACCTGTGCCTCAGCACCTCCCCTCCAGCGGGCCAACCCCAACACCAGACAGACCCTGCACCTGGGCGCTGAGCACAGGCCCCACCTCACTGGCTTTGGCTGGGCACTGCCGCTCAGAGGAGTAAAGTGGGGGCGGGGCTGGGGGCTGAGTAGAGGCCAGGCTGCAGGAATGCCCGCGCACACCCCACTCTGAGCACTGAGAGAAAAGGCAGAGCTGCTGTGGACGCCCCAGCACAAACACCTGAGCCCCCCGGGGCGAGTGTGCGTGTTTACAGCAGAGAGGCGCGCTCTCAGAACCCCAGGGGCTTCGGGACTCCCCAGGGTCCGTTGGCAGGGCCTCCCTCCAAGGGAGGCTCACACCGTCTGGCCCCGCCCACGACCCCGCCCAAAGAGGGAGGAGTCTGAACCGTCACACGCCGCGGCCGGAGCCACAGAGCTGGCCCTGCTGGCCACACACCCACTTGTGTAGGCCAAGGGCAGCCCCTGGGAGGGGACAGAGCAGTGGTGCCAGGACCCCCTGCCCCCTATGCTCTGCCCCGCTGCAGCCAGGCCGCTGAGCCAGCCAGGGGACAAGGGTGGGTGCTTCAACCGGACCTGTGCAGGGCTGCCCCTGGGGTCCCGCCAGGGATGGGCACCGAGAGCAGGCATCACAGCCCCGGGCCTCCGGTGCCCCTGGCTCCCCACTGGTCACCACACCAGGGTCCTGCCGGAAGCCTCCACCTCCCTGAGTGCCCCTTCTTGGGGACCCAGCCCGGTTCCCTCCCACCTACAGACACTGGCCCTGCCCTCTGTAGAGACTGGGCACGGGGTACCAGGAGGGGCGCTGGCGGGGACTAAGGGGCCAGGGGCCCGCCGAGGCGCAGACTGGGTGGAACGGGGCGTGCTAGCAGGCGGGGGAGCTCGAGTTGGTCTGGAGCGCCCAGACGACCCCCGCCGCACACCCTGCTCCCCGCGATCAGGAGGGTGTCCTGTCCAGCCTGCGGAAGGGTGCCCTGCCTTCATGGCTGGGCTGAGGTCGCAACAAGTACCCCCCACCCCGATCTCGATTCCTCCGCCCGGCTCCCACGGGCGCTCACCGGAGCCGCCATCCGCGCCTGTGCTCCAGCCGGCGGCGGTCCTGGACGAGCCGGTCTGGCCCGCGGTCACGGAGCCTCGGTCCGGTCCGGAGATGCGGAAGACCTAGCAGAGGGCGTGGGGCGCGCCCACCCTCGCCACCAACCGGGCGCCGCGCTGCTGGCCTCCAGGCGGATGCGGAGCCGCGCCAGCTGGGCTATTTATAGCGCCCAGGCGTCACGTGGGCTGGGGGAGGGGGTTGTCCAGTGACCGGGAAGCGACCTGGCTTCTTGTGCTATCCCTGCTGGCCTGGCTCCCACACCTGCCGCCTAAATATAGCGGGGTCCTGCTGGCCAAGGGTCCGGTGTCCCCCCACCCCCTCCTCACACGCTCACATACACTCACACACTCTCCCATACACTCACATTCACACACACTCACACACTCTCTCACACGCGGAGGGAGAGGAAGCACCTGGTGGACAGGAAACAGGGCAGTGCAACATCTATGGAGGGACAGCCAGAGTCCATTGACACCTCCCCAGGAGGGACAGCCAGGGTCCACTGATACCCCCAGGTGTGACAGCCAGGGTCCACTGATACCCCCAGGTGTGACAGCCAGGGTCCACTGACACCACCCCCCAGGAGGGACAGCCAGTGTCCACAAAAAGACCCCCCAGGAGGGACAGCCAGGGTCCACTGAGACCTCCAGGAGGGATAGCCAGGACCCACTGACACCCCCAGGAGGGACAGCCAGGACCCACTGACACCCCCAGGTGTGACAGCCAGGGTCCACAGAAAGACCCACCAGGAGGGACAGCCAGGGTCCACTGAGACCTCCAGGAGGGATAGCCAGGACCCACTGACACCCCCAGGAGGGACAGCCAGGGTCCAAGGAAAGATCCCCCCACCCAGGAGGGACAGCCAGGGTCCACTGAGACCTCCCAGGAAGGGAGTCAGGACCCCACCAACCCCTCCAGAGAGTGTTCTATTCCATTTTCATGACAGCCTGGAGGCTTTGCCAGCTCTTCTAAGCAAATGAGCAAATCTCCTCACCCCACAAAGCCCCCCGTTGGGCCCACCCTTGCCTCCAGGAGCAAGGACTCCCGGGACCGATACCCCCCCCTGCACCTGCACAGCCACCATAAAGGTCTCAGGGAGGGGTCAGAGCAGGCAAACCCCCCCCCCCCCACACACACACACACACACACACACACACACACACACAGGGTCCCTGGGGGCCCGTCTTGATGGGAACCCGGCGTAGAGCCCAGCTCCCAGACAGCCTGCCTGGCCTTACAATCAGCGGTCAGCCCAGGGGAGGGGAGGGTGCTGGCCTGGGTCCCAGCTTGGGGACACAGTCCCTCCCCAGCTCTCCTCACACGTACAGGCTGGCCTGCTCCTCTCCCCAAGCCAGGGGCCACCCACCTGCCAGCCCAGGGACCCTTCCTCACCCTAGCTGTGCTGCACCCCCACCCATACATCATCTCAGCTGTGGGCTTGCAGCACATCCCTGAATGCCACCCCGGAGGCCACCGTCTGAACCGGCAGTTCCTGACGGCACAACGGGGCCAGACCTTGCTGCACAGAGAGAGGCACTGAGGAAGCACAGAGATGTGAGGTCTCGTGGCCAAGTCACACATCCATTAACAACATAATCATACATCCAGTCCACCGTCAGCCCTACAACGTAGTCACACAGCCAGGCCACACACCCGAGTCACGGCAGGAACAGAACCTGGCTCAGGCTGTGGCTTACTGGTCTCTGAAGCCCTGCGTGTCCCAAAGCCAGCCCTCCGGGAGGGAGGCCCCCTGAAATCTGCCATTCCAGCCCTGGTTTTCTAGCCCATCCCAAAGCTGTCTGGATGCCCCCAGGCAGAGCCCCCGCACCCCTCCCTCCCTGTACCCACCCACTGCAGCTCGGCTGGACCCCCATGGGCCTTTCCAGCCTGTTTGCACCTGCAGGGGCCCCTCCTGGGACCCCCAGGGAGGGAGGATGGGCCGGCCCACCGCTGGGGAGCCAAGCAGGGAGCCCTGAGCCCCTGACCTCAGGAACTCTCCTCCCTCTCACGCTGCATTCCCCACCCCCCACCCCCTCCTGCCCACAGTCCTGCCTGGCTCCTAGGATGACCCAAGCAGACTAAGCCACTGTCTGGAGGGCAGTCCCGAAGGA